AATCTGTAAATGGTGTCTGTTAACGGTATACATCCTATTTAAAGGGCGGTGGTCGTCCCGCAGCGCGTGTTCGAATATCATGTAAATGTATATTACGCGCGTTGTATACGTCGCTATGAGTCCCATATCGAAGAGGATGCAGCGCGACGACCACCGCCCTTTAATAAGACAATAGTAAATCAACCATATTTGAGATGTTAGATATGATCTTGGATAAAAGTCATCACATAGTGCATGTGATATACCTTGATTGTAATTGACTGCACTTACTTTCTTCTCTTCTTCTTTATCCCAGGTTTCTCTTTCCATCAATACAAACTTCTCATAATCTTTTTTAAGAAGCGGGATCTCTTCAAGTCGCTGCGCACGGGCATAGTAATCAATCTGTAAAATATACAAAATAGAAAACATAAAAACTTTACAAGCAATGTAAACGGATTTGACATTATAAATTTGAGTACTTTTTATTGTCTACTGTTAGCATATAATTCCAACACAGCAAGTATCACTGTTTATTAAGATAATACTACCACTTATACATGTTAATGTACATGTGCCTCAAAATATACACCAAACAACAAATTAAAATATGATGTAATTCTAATGAACCACATGGAATTTACAAACTGTCGAACACATTCCTTGTGATTACTACCTAGTGGGTGTATATATGATATATTGTGAAATATTTTAGTAATTAGGCTTTCGATGCATTTCAGCATCGAAAGCCTATTGTTAATGTAATGTTTACTACTACTATTATTATTTTTAATCTGCCGTTTTTTAAAACTCTTCTTCTCAAAGACGGGTTACCCACTTGACCTGATACTTCACAGACATAATCTATATGCAATTCTCTAAAACGTCAAAGTTCCGATTTTTGATATGTGACGTCATTCGGCCACCATCTTGGATTAAAGGCGAAATTTTCAATGCCGAATTGCACACCTTTCTGAGGGTCTGAGTGCTTCCAGTTTTTTATGGTAGCAGTAGTGGGACAAGGGCTACAAATTTCAGTAAAAAAAACTTTAGCGGCCACAGGACATTTTTTTGCTAGAATTGTCGGAAATTTTGTTTTGCATCTCATTTACATAATTTTTGACTAATCCACTAACCCTGCGTAAGTTTGAAAGATCAAGTGCCATATTATTTATTTTTCCAAACGGCTTCTCCAGGCGATGAGCCGTTTTTTAGAAAATGATTTTAGAATGTTTTTTCATATTTTTTTATTGTATCCTGTAAAGCATCATGGGAAAGGTGGGAGGGCCCTGTACATTCTGTTTGAAATATCTCAAGCACTATACAGATAGGTACATGCAACCAGTGCAATATTGAAGCTATGGGATAAGAGATGTGACTAACGTATTAGATGACCATATATGGTCATGTGACCTCATTAAATATGCATGTCTCTAATACCTCAAGTCCTATTCCATGTACAAACATGGAACTAACGTTATATTGAAGGCAATGGACAAGAGAATTGACCAAAATATTCGTTCACCATATATGTTCATAGAATTCATTAAATATGCATGTCTCTAAATTCTCAAATACTATTGCAATTACAAACATGGAACCAATGCTATATTAAAGGCATTGGACTAGAGAAATAGCGAAAATGTTCAATGACCATATATGGTCATAAAACTCATTAAATATGCATATCTCTAATATCTTAGGAACTATTGCAAGTACAAACATGGAACCAATGCTACATTAAAGGCATTGGACAAGAGAAATAGCTGAAATGTTCAATGACCATATATGGTCATATAACTCATTAAATATGCATCTCCCCAATATCTTAGACACTATTGCAAGTACAAACATAAAATAGCGTTATATTGAAGGCAATGGACAAGAGAAATGGCAAAAATGTTCACTGACCATATATGGTCATAGAACTCATTAAATATGCATATCCCTAATATCGTAGGCACTATTACAAGCATACACATAGATCAAATTCTATATTAAAGGCATTGAACAAGAGAAGACGCTAAAATATTCAATGACCATATATGGTCATAGAACTCATTAAATATGCATGTCCCTAATATCTTAGGCACTATTGCAAGTACTAACATGGAACCAATACTATATTAAAGGCATTGGACTAGAGAAATTGCGAAAATGTTCAATGACCATATATGGTCATAGAACTCATTAAATATGCATATCCCTAATATCTTAGGAACTATTGCAAGTACAAACATGAAACCAATGCTATATTAAAGGCATTGGACAAGAGAAATAGCTGAAATGTTCAATGACCATATATGGTCATAAACTCATTAAATATGCATCTCCCCAATACCTTAGGCACTATTGCAAGTACAAACATTGAACCAATGCTATATTGAAGGCATTGGAAATAAAAAAAATGGCTAAAATGTTCAATGACTATATATGGTCATAGAACTCATTAAATATGCATATCTATAATATCTTGGTCACTATTGAAGTTAGAGATATGAAAATAACGCTATATTGAAAGCATTGAAACAGAGAAATTGCTAAGATGTTCAATGACCATATGTGGTCATATAATTCATATAGTGTAATCAGTTCACCATGCTGTGACTAGATCGACATACATTGTGATCAATTTGCCTACAGTATATAGTAAACGAATCGCAGTATATGTCTCCATTACCCTAGATATTACAGACGTGTAATGCCATAACTCTGTTGCATGAATGCATTTCAGCGCTAACGCAGGCATAGCATCCAAAGCCGGTAATCGCTGCTTGCAGCTATATTTCCATTTTATAGTTGTGCGTGTTCTTGCGTACCTTAAATATTTTTTTCCATTGCTATCAATAAAGAACCATTGCTCAAAACGTCTACCTATTTCGAATAGTTACTTAGGACAGCAATTGCCAAATATTATCTACTATATAGCGAAAATATAAAACTATAATATATATATATATATATTATAATTAGTATTGCATTACCTCTAGTTCCTTTGTATACAGTCGCGAATGAAGTTCACTTTCGTGGTGTTCTATTTGTTCAAGTATCCATTTATCTGCATCTAATACTACACATCCCTTGGGAAAAAAACAATGGTATAGTACATTAAAAACATTTTACCACACCAATCTGTAAACTTGTATGATAAGGCATATATTGCTAGAAAACTTACACTACCTAATATGACCTGTAATTTGAATACCATGCCCACAATGACACTAGCAAATACAGTGATGTGACCTGTAATTTGAATACCATGCCCGCAGTGACATTAGCATATTCACTAATGTCACCTGTGATTTGAATACCATGCTCACAGTGACACTAGCATATACAGTAATGTGACCTGTGATTTGAATACCATGCCCACAGTGACACTAGCATATTCACTAATGTGACCTGTGATTTGAATATCACGCTCACAGTGACACTAGCATATACAGTAATGTGACCTGTAATTTGAATACAATGCCCATAGTGACATTAGCATATTCACTAATGTCACCTGTGATTTGAATACCATGCTCACAGTGACACTAGCATATACCCTAATGTGACCTGTGATTTGAATACCATGCCCAGAGCAACACTAGCATATTCACTAATGTGACCTGTGATTTGAATACCACGCTCACAGTGACACTAGCATATACAGTAATGTGACCTGTAATTTGAATACAATGCCCATAGTGACATTAGCATATTCACTAA